CTCCCGTGGGGGCTGCCTTCGCCCTCGCCGCCGCCACCGCCGCCGAGCGCGCCTGTCATCCGCTTCGGGGGCCGAAAGACGCAGAGCTTTGACGTTCCGGGCCCCGCGCCCCACCCCGTGCGCTTTTACGTCACCTTTCACCGGCTCGACACCCGCTGCCCCATCCGCGCATGCGCCCGCCTAAGGCCTCCGACTGTTCCCATGGCAACGGGTCCCGCACCGACGCCGCCGCGCGTGGCTGTTCCCGCAGACGGGCTCGTCCTCGGGACTAGGCTGCTGTCACGTCCAAGGGCGACCTCAGAAACCCTCGGCCCGCACCCCCAAGACCCTCGGATAGTGGCAGTAGCCGCGCCTGCGCATCTTCGTCGATTGCTTGCTGTCACCTACGAGAACACCCCCTGGAGTCAGCTGCCTGGGTTCGAGTCTCAACACCACCTCACTCGCGAGTTCCCCTGGGCAAGTTGCTCACTTCACTGTGCCTCAGTTTCCTCGTCCGTAAGGTGGGGAACATAATAACTGATCTCGTGTGAATTGAATGAATCGTCATAAAATACTAATTGTTTGATTTTCTTCTTTCCTTGTCTGACTCCAAGCGCCCCCGAACCTTTGGAGCCCACCACCCGGACCCCTCCCTTCAAATCTCATTTCACAAAATTAGATCTCTAGCCCACCTCCAGTCACTAATCCTTTCTCCCAGGCTCCTCACCCCAAACCTCTCTGGCCTTGTGTACCCTCATGACACTCTGTAGATTTTCTTCCTCCTCAGAACACTTATTCATTCATTCATCCGACAAGCATTTTCTGCCTCTCTCCTCCATCCCAGGCCTTGTGCTGAATGCTGAGGATACGGAACTAGCCTGGCCGTGGCCTCTATCCTCGGGGAGCTTCTAGTCTCTGAGACAGAGACAGGGTCGCAATGTCTTGCTAGTCACAACGAATATCCCTAATTCCCACGTGGGAGCCGTCAGATAGTGGCCACAGCGAAGACCAGGACAGGGTGCATTGGAATTTAGAGAAAGGGCCCTTTCCAGAGGAGGTGGCATTTGAGTAGGTGGGAATAGGTAGAGGAGGCATTTGACAGAGACGTTTGACAGAGGCATTTGACAGAGGGACTCAGGTAGGGGGGACTGGTATGTATCAAAACTTGGGAGTGTGAGAGCGCATGTGTTTGGAGAACAAGTCATTTTTTCCACTGGAGAGTTCATTGGGAAGCAGGGCAGGGTGGTAGGTGGGCAGAGCAGTGGAATTAGCCACAAGGACAGGAAGGGAACCTCAGGAGTCTTGGATGTAAGCAAGCTGGAGCAACCACCATATCCAATGCTTCCTAACTTCAGCCATTCAGGAAACTCCATCAGTCTTGCTATCTATGTAATATCTCCTTTGAATGGACTCACATTTTAAAACTCTCAAATAAAAAAGGAAAAGCAGCCGGGCTCAGCGGCACTTTGGGAGGCCAAGGCGAGTGAATTGCCTGAGCCTGCGGGTTCGAGACCAGCCTGGGCAACTTGGCAAGCCCTCATCTCTACAGTAAAATAAAAAATTAGCCGGGCACGGTAGCGCTCGCCTGTAGTTCCGGCTACATGGAAAGCTGAGGTGGAAGGATCGCCGGAGCCCAGTGGGTCGACGCTGGGGTGGCTGTGAGCGTGTCACTGCACTCCAGCCTGGGCGTCGGAGTGAGACTCCAACTCAAAAAAAAAA